TTTTAGACCTGCAGCAAGTTTTTCTGTGGCTTTAATATTCACTGACTGTCTCTTCTGATATTCATTGACAGATGACCAAAGTGATGCTTGAAATGCTGCATTTCACTAGCTCTCCCCTGGGGATTCCTTCCCGCTTGTCTCTCTCCCCCTCCATCTACCTCCTGCCTGTGCTGCAGACCTGCCTCCCTTGTGCTGCCATTTCAGGCTGGCACATTTTCACCCCACCCCCTCTGAGATGTGCCTGTGGCATGCGTCCCTCTTGCCTCACCCCTGCTGCTGAGGAAGCTTAGGAAAGAAATGTCAGGGCTCGAGGTTCCTGGAGGAGGCAGGGAGGGAAAGGGCAGCAGATGCTGAAGTCATTAGGTGAGTAGAAGCATGGAAATAATGACATTCCAGAAAGGCATCTCACCCACCAAACAACACATCCTCCTAGCCTCAGACTGAGGGGTGCCTTTAGCTAGGAAATGGCCTGAAGCCATGAGCCTTAAGGCTGAAATTGCCGGAGCAGCATAACTAGTACATTGTTAAATTGACTAGCTTATTAGCAGTGTTTAAAACTCATCACTCAATCTTTATTTCCAAAAGTTTGCAAATGGTGAATTATGGAAAAATGGGCCTTCAAGAAACAGCTGCAAATTATTAAGAAAAAAACCACCATAAAAGAAGTTACTTGACTCTGGCTCTTGCCTCTGAAGGGCTATTAGAAGTATTTGCCTCACCTACTGTCAATGTGCAGAGATTATTTTCATACCAATACCTCTGTAAATTATCTGACAGCAAAACTGAGCTTTGCCCTGCTTAATGTGCATCAAGTGAACCGATGCAGGAAACACACACTGTGTGGTCTGCCACACGCCCAGATAAGAGCTGAATAAAAATGAGGGTGTGGATGGATTGCTGGCCAAGAGATCAGAAGGCTCCAGAAGGATCACCCATGGTCTATAAATATGGGAAACAGGAGGAGACTACATGGGTCTTCCCCTTTGCAGTGCTGTTCTTTATGGACAAACTGTGCCATGAGGATGACCTGGCAAAACTCAAACATTGTTTCTGTAAGAGATGCATGGGCACTAGCCACAAATGACTGGTGGAGGATAATGTTCTGTAGAGATGTTTCTTCTCGCAGCTGTGGAAATGATAGGACAAGGCAGGAGTGAGACTGTGCCTCCAAAGCCTGCTCATGCAGCATCATATTGTATTGTCTTTTTGCTCCTGAAATGCAGCAAGCTAAGAGGGTAATCTTGTGTAACAGCAAGATGACCAGTCAGTGCTCAATAAGACCAAGTGCACATTCCATTATTTTGTTAAAATGGTTCTTTCTTAGCCCTTTCGTAGAAAGCTGCTGGCAAAGTGCAGCCAACTAAGGTACTTGCAGTCCTTTGCTGTCTCCTTTGCATTTCACATACTTGGGGGCTGAGCAGCCTCTCCAGGGTGCATGTTCTGTTGATGCTCTCCCCATGCCAGACCTCTCTCTCTGCTGGCCACTAGCCAGGATGCTGCAGCCTCCCCACTCTGCCACTGTTTTCATGAAGAGGTGTTTGCTTGCACTTGTGCATGATTAAAAACCTCATACTTGGAAAGAGCAGGCTGAGGCTGTAGCAGAAACTGGGAATTAAACCTGATTACAGGAAGCTCAGGAGGAGGAACATTTTTATGTCTCTGCCTTTTGCCTATGATTCACCATGCACTGGGAAAAAATGGAAAATAGAGGGGTCGAGATAGACTGGAGGGGGGAGGACAGAACTAATGATAAAGAGAAGCCTTTTCTGCACAGTGTGTTAGAGGATGCTGAGCTAACCTTCAGGACAGGATGTATTAACCAACATTAACCCAGTGATTACCACTCAGGATGAAAAATGCCTTTTCGTTCACCACAATTGTGAAGAAAATGGTGTCAGACTAGGAGGGGTTGCATTGTAATTTTAAGCCAAATGAGGCTTGAAGAGGGGCAAGAAATGATGTGAACATGAAGAAACTGAAAGAAGCCTCTGGAGCAGGGAGGTCAGTAGGTTGGAAAAAGAACAGCTTGGCTTCTTAAGCCATATTTTATTTGCACTAGGGTCTCAATTAATGTGCCTTTTGGAAAGGTGATGGCAGTCAATGCTTGGAGGGGAAGTCCAGGGCAGCCTTGGAGTGAAGTGTGCACTGCAATTTGACGGGGATGAGAAAAGCAAAAAAGATATATGGTAGGGAAATGATATGTATGGGGACAGATTCCCCTCAGCCTCACTCAAAATTTCCCAGGGAGCTTGGCTGCCCCTCACTGCTCCCCAGCTGGTGGCTATATCACAGGCATTTTCCATGACAACAACAAAGAGCACATTTCCACTGCCTTTTGCTGATGCTTGAGTTGCTGCACCAAAGGATGAAGGTGTTAAAATGTTTCTAACATGTCTTAACCTTTCCAGTATGTGGCTTCTTAATAGTAGCAGTAATTTTCTGCTCAGTATTTCTACAAAAGCCCTGTGTGGTACTGATTCTCTGCTGTGAAGGATTGCAGCCTCTGGAGGTCTCAATTCCGGAAAAGCTCTAAGCAACTGAAACAAGGGTTTAATGAGATGAAACGTGTGTGGCAACGTTAGCCATGACAACATTATCAGCTTTGCTGCTGCTGATAAATCCCAAGCGCATTTCCTATTCCAGCAAGCTTCACTAAGATCCTCAAGAGTATTTCTTTTTCCCTAACACCTGGGTAATGCCATGCCATGACTCATCTTCTCTCGTACTGTCAAAGCATGTTCAGTTCTGCAGGAGTGATGTGCAATGTAAGTAAGTGACTGATGCTTGGATCAGCTCTGTCCATTACCTGTTGGGTCAGTTGTCCTCTGGACAAATATTTAGTGACATTTGCATGTGTGTATGTACATGTGGGGTGTGTTTTAAGGAGAACTATATATCCATATAGCTAGCTTAGATAAACAAGCCCAGCTTCTGCTTTCTTTTCCAGCTGGGTTTTCAGTCAAACTTCCAGAACAGTGTTAACAAACGGCAGGTGGAGAGAAGGGACTCAGTTAGCTCTTAGAGGAGCCCTCACTCTCATCTCCTTCAGTGAACTTCACTAACACTTAAAATGTCACATTTCCTCCATGCACAATTTTTAATTAAAAACACTCCATTGAAAAGGCCATGACAGCTTGACACTGCTGCCCACACACCAATAGCCCAACAGCAGTGAAAGGTAATGGCAGTAAGCAAAATTGCTCTCAACCTGAACAGGAAACACTGAGGACCCTCTCTACCTGGAATAACTAACAAACAGCAGCAATGGCAGCCTGTCCCAATCCTGCCACATGTCTTCAGAGCAATCACTAGCCCTCACCCCTGTTCTTGATGTCTTTATAAATAACACACAGCTCCTCACCTTGCCAGTCTTCTCATCTTTTCCTCCTTAGCCCTTCATCTGTTTCTCCCCTGAGGTTACAATCTTATTTTTAAGCATTGGGTGCAATGTGCTTTTGCATTTCTAATATATGGGTGCCAGCGAATTGCCGGATGCCTTAAAATCTACTTTATTTCATTTTCTGTGATCCTGTGCTTGTGACAAGCTCTCAACTGTCCATGCTTTCAGTGCTAATGCTTGGACACTGCAATTGTGTTGCCAAGATAGCTGCTTTCTTTGCAGAAGAAAATTTTACTTCTGACATTGTTGTCAGCCACAATAATTATTGCAGATTCAGCTGAAACTACGTATGATCTGGTTTACTGAAGTTGCAAGTACAAACTGAGTGTCCCAGACCACAAAATGCTTTATGAGCAAGGAAAGAGCACAGCTGTTACCACATACCTATCATTATTGTGCCAGAATCTGTTCGATTTAGCAAAGTGACTTCCTCACCTATGAAAGCTGAAAACACAGATTGCATTAAGAGACCAACGAGTTTCAACTGCTAATTTCTCCTTTCAAACTGAGTTATTAAATTTATAGAGAATCTCATTTGACTAGAAAGAGACTTCTCACAAAATCCATGGTTGGCTCACGCCTAGAATTTTATTCAATCCATTCAAAAAATAGACAGAACTATAAGGTGGAACATATTGTCAGAGAGTACAAATGCCACATCTTTCTTTATACAGTTTAATTTAAATTCATAGATTAAGACAGTGAAATAATTGCCCTGGGTAGGAAAATAATTAGGAGTATTCCATGAAAGGACAAGTCTTTAGGTAAGCATTTACACAAATGTATCTGGTTAAGCATAACTTTTTCTATCCTCTATAAAAATATAAACAGCATTTCAAAATGTCTTTAGGTAAGTATGTTTAAGGTCATCTAACATGGCATTGACATACTGACAGAATACAGGGTCTGGGAATGTCAAACCACACTTATTAATCCACACCCAGACAAAACTAAAACATTTTGTATAAACCTCAAACATAATACAATATAACGAAAGAAACAATATCAGACTAAAGACACACAAGTATGAAGTTCTTCCTCCCATATGAATTCTTTTTCTTTTATTTTGTAGTTTTTGCTAATATGGCAATGACTAAGACAAAAGTGGCACTTTAGCACAGATTAATAGTAACTCAGAATCAAGTATAATTTGCCTTTCCCAAAAAATAACATTGCTGGGAAGTGACATGTGCCAGGATCAAATTAAGGGTGCTCACTGTCATGTATGTTTTACCTGTGCAGTATTACTTTGATACAGACTGTAGCATGTGATAGGAGGACAAGTGCAAATTACAAGGGCAGAATCATAGCTTTCCAGACAGCAGAACCAGGCAGAAAAAGTAAGACTAAACAGTATTTTAAAGGCAAGAAGAAAATTAATCAAAAAGCCAACTCATCTAAACTTTAAATAGTGGGATGTAGGGTGTTCCTGGTACAGCTGTCATAAATGCACCCTAGGTTTTCCAAGGATGCAATCAGATATGCTAAACATCTTATCATTGTTGCAAAAATTTTCTGGTTCCACACAGATCAGAACGTTCAAATACACTGAATATATTGGCCACAGGTCTAATCACTTAATTTCCTTTTTCCCAATCCTAAATTTTTACTGAAGCAGCTTCCCTATCAGCTGCATATTTATATAGCAGAGCACTCAATGTTGTAATTGACTAGCACAGATACCAACAACGGCTGATACTTTCCAGTTAAAATGATCTACAAGTGAGAAATAAAACCTAAGGGGAGGGTCAGGTTTCAGATAAAGGTTGGACATTTTGAACTCTGGACAAAGTAACAGGTATCTTTGATTCCCCTGGTGCTGGCGCTTTTGTGACTGGGTTTGCATGGGCTTTTATATCAGCTATTCTCTCTTTAAATCTTTGCTGGAGGTACTTCTCTTCTTTGGAGTAACTTTTAGCAAAAGCAGACATCAGGAGACATGCTGCTACAGTGGACCCTCCAACACAAAACAAGATTGCTCCTGCCAGCTTGCATATATCAAGGGACCCATTAAACTGAACGGCACGGGTATCCACAACAACAAAATCATCCTTCCCAAGAGCTTCGATTTTTGGTGGCACAAGAAAACCCACTACAAGAACCGTTACACCTATCAGCATGAAAGCCATCCCGGAGATGAGTCCGACCTGAAAAACAAACAAACAAACAAAACCCCAATTAATATTCCAGTGTTCAGTTGGTAAGTGTTCCTAGGAGGCATTTAGCTCTCACTGTGTCTTGCAGGTACAGCTCTCTCTTCTAGAAGGCAGCTGATATTTTTCTTTTAGGCCCTACTAGAACTAGAACATATGGAAAAACTGTCATTTTAAATACTTATATAGTTAAATACTGATATTTCTGAAAACTATGGAATATGCAGCTATATGTCTAAATAGCATTTCATGTTGAAAGGCCCCATCACAGAGAGGATCACAGTTTAAGCCCAGTGCTGTGTAACTGATTATTTCTTTGGCTTTAGGTGGTGGTTAGCACCAACAGTTCAGACCCTGCTGAGAGTCTGTGTCATATCCCTACTTGCTTTTAGTTCATAAAATATCATTCCTCTGCAGGGATTAGAAGGAAGATGCTATTGCCATGAACACATCACAGAGTATTTCTAGCATATTTCAAGTGTAAGTGCAAAACTTGGTTCACACAGAATGTCCCTGGGGGCAGGGATCATCAGAAGGGTAGAGATTGGATGGCTTCACAGGCCCCTTCCAACCCCTGCTGTTCTCCAGTTCTGTCAAGTTCCCTGATCTTAATGGAGACCTCTTGGTTTTCTTGATCCCTAGGTCACATAGCCTCAGAGTTACTGCTCTTAGTCTATCAGTCCTATTCCCAATAGTCTAGCAGGACTGTTGTGAGTGTAGCGCAGACGCAAACTACACTTTGGAGATATATGTGGGGTTCCCAGACAAGACTGATGTTTCACTGACACTGTGAGAGAGAAACTAGAGGATCCAAAAACCCCAGAATTCCCTTGGAAGCTGATGTATCTTTGTAAGAATGCCCTGCTTTCAGACATAGTTACTTAGTCACCTCAGGTGACCCTCAGGGAAAACCGAACAACCAAAAGTCCTTTCTGGAGGAATACTTAAAACCATTATTACACAGGGAAAGTCTTGAAAAGGGAGTTTCTCTTTTCAGTAAAGGGCAACAGGTAGTACCTTCCAGAACATAGAGCTCCACCTGCTAGGCGATCTCTGGATCTGAAAATCATCCTCATACTCCCAAATTGAAGCTGTGCAGTCCTCATAAAACTGATGCAGGTAGGACCGAACTCCGTAGCGTTGGTACCCTCCCTCAGTGCTGCCCTGCGATTGCTTGGAACCACAGATGTCAGCATAGGAGCTCATCCTTCCTACCTGCAAAGAGAGGTTTCACACAAAATAGATGATTATCAATGTGGTGCGAGAGCAAAGCTGGCTGCAGGCTCTCCAGATGACATGAAAAAACCAGCCTAGGAGAGACCTTTACCTCACTTTTTTCCAAACCAAGAAATGAGCCTAGTAGAGTTGCATGGAGTGACTCAGCTCAAGCAAACCCAAAGGAACTCAAGTGTCTTAGCACAGCATAGCCTAAAGGTGCTGCAGGGAGCATTCCCTTTCGTACACAGGGTGTTTACTCCCCATCTTTTGCACTAGTGTTCGACTAAGTTTCCATGGAGATTGAGAAAAACAGAATATGTCAGGTAACAAAGTCCAGCATCCCTCAAGGGGTCATGTTGCCTCTCATCTGGACTGCATCTATCAGTCAACTGGAGTTCACAATAGTAGGAACTTTCCAAACTGCTGGGTAAGAGGTTTGTTGTCATGTTTTTTCCTAAACTTTTCAAGCGCAGCACTAATCATTGATATACCATTTGTTGTCATAGGAAACAGAGGCAAAATAAGTCCTAGACAGATGAAAACAATATATAACCTGTACATAAAAATGAATAGTTGAAAATAAAAGAATGGAATGCCATAACAGCACCAATCTGTTCAATGAAGAGTGAAATGGAAATACTAAACCTATGGCAAACCACTGCTCCCTTGCAGAAGCCGATGCTCAAGCTCTTGGTGACTTCAATAAAATCAGAATTTTGCCTACTATGAAAACTACCAACAAAGTTCCCTACTCTTTCCACTTCATCGAAGTTCTCCTAACACACAAAATCTCTATTTAACTATGCAAGTCCAAGGCCTGAACTTGTTTGCACAGGTGTGATGTGACTGAATTCATTAAAATAATACTAGCCCTTTAAAATAACTTGAGCAATAGGTCAATGTTACTTAAGCTGGCTGGCTTCTCTTTAAAGAAGTTCAAAAAGCCTTAGTCCAAAGGGAACTGTTAATCAGAACTTGCATCTAAATGTCATGGCTCAATTTATATCTGCTTCAATCAATATATCAGATTGTCACAGTAATTTCACTTAGAGGGAGCGAGGAAGGTTTGATGTGCTCATGGCAGCTAGGACCTCCCAATTTTGCCAGCCCAACAGACCTTTGCTCTTTGAGAATGGGTGATCTTGTTGGGTATGAAATACCTGAGTATGCAAGAAATACAAACACTGGTATATTCAAATTAAGGAGAATCCAGAAAATATTGATGGGGAATGGCAACAGCCTCAATGAAGCTCTTGGCTGGCTCTGAAATCACTGCTGGTATAAACAGTGAACTTCCAGCCTTTTGGAGTCTTGTGTTCTTGGCTCATGAATAATGAGGCTTTTGCTTTTTCTTCTTTATAGAAATCAATTATCGTGGGGTTTTATTTATTTTGCATGTTTATTATGCATGTAGTTTGGGATTTCATGATCTCCACATCTTATAACTGCAAATAGCTCTCTTCCAACTTGTGATGACGTTTCAAGGCTCTCACAGAAGTCATGACCAAGAGAAGGAGACAACCCACATGTTGCTGGGGCACCTAGCAAGGGTCGGAGCTCCCTCCAGGAGAATGGGGGACAGTACTCGTGGCTGAGCTTTGCAAAGCAACAGGGGTAATGTCAGGCTCAGCTTCTGTCAGGCATCCCCTTTTTGAACCCAGAACTGCCTCTACATCCCCTGAAGGTTTCTCTTTCCACCTCAGCTATTGTAAAATGCTAGGAAACTAAAGAAGTGCTCTCCAACTCTGTGGATGGGCTTGCTCTTTGCTCATAGTACTGCATCAGTGTCCTCCAGTGTGCTCAAGGTGCTGGCCTTCCTAGGCAAGGTAGAAAAACAGGCAAAGGGCCAGAGGCCTTGAGACAGCAGGAAACTCCTAGGATGCACCAGCTGCTCACCATGTGAGCAGGGAGAGCTTAGCCCCTGGGCCACCATGTGTCAAGTTGTACATAGCTAACACTGATGTTTCCAACTACAGTAAATATATTATAAAACATTTGTTTGTGTCATAGTTTAAGCCCAGTCAGCAGCTAAGCACCTCACAGGCACTCGCTCACCTCCACCCCCACCACCATGGAACAGGGAGGATAATCAAGTTTGTAGGTTGAGATAAGAACAATTTAATAATTGAAACAAAGTAGAATTTAATAATAGTAAATAAAGAAGGAGAGATAAAACCCAAGTAAAACAAGTGATGCACAATGCAGTTGCTCATCACCTGCTGACTGATGCCAAACCTCATTGCCAAACTGCCATCATCCCCTTCCAGGAGACTCCCCCAGTTTATATACTAGGTATGATGTTCAGTGGTGTGGAATATCCCTTTTGCCAGCTCTGGTCAGTTGTCCTGTCTGTGCTCCCTCCCAGCTTTTCGTGCAGCTCCTCGCTGGTAGAGCGTGTGACATTGAAAATGTCCTTGGCTTAGGGCAAGCACTAAGCAACAACCAAAACATCAGTGTGTTATCAATGTTATCCTCATATTGAATCCAAAACATAGCATTGCACTGGCTACTGAGAAAAAATGAACTCTATCCAAGGACAGTTTGTTGTGCTTTTTTATAATGCTATGAGGTTTTGCATGCTATTTTTTTTGAGGTACAAAAAGAAAGTGGTCATATATCTATATCTATATCTATATATCTATATCTCTATATCTATATCTATATCTATATGATCTGAACTTTTGTGGGGGAAAGCTACAAGTTATTCTACTTTTGGAGCCTGTTTGTTCTTTTGTGAAATAACTCTTTTTGTTTCCCTCAGGAATCCCTCCTGCTGTTAATCTACTACCCAAAAGGAGAGTAAAAGAAGTCCTCTTTTCTCACTGGCACCATTCCTTCAACAGCTACCTGCTCCCTTCCACAGCACAAGCACTAAAGAGTTCTCATAAAACCAGAGTTCTGCCCACCTCATTAAACTACCTCAAGGGGAAAGGAGAAGTGGAAGCAATGGTGCAGTTTACCACAGCTGCCCCAGCTCTCACATACAGGGTCACACTGCCTATACCTCAAGGATAAGAACACTTTATGTCCAACCTGTCTTTAGTTTATGAGTAAGCAAGGACTCCATCTCCCACATCAGAAAGAGAATAAAGCAAAGAGGTCAGCCAAAGCTCTGCAGAGACTCTTTCTCTTGGGTTCTTACTTAGATCTTTAATCTCACATCAACCCTACCTCCTTAAACAAATTATGCTTAACTCCTTGCCAACTTAAGTCATTCAGGTAAGCATATCTAGGTATTTTCCCAGGTGTAAGTGGCTACATAAGGTCAACACAGGGAAGAATCAGAATTAACATGACCAGATAATGTGGCCTGCCAAACCTTACTTGCATTAATCCAGCTGTCACCAGGAGGATTCAGAAAGCAGGTGAAACACATTGCTGAGTCTGAATCAGCAACTTTAGTTATTGTAATTAATTTAAGCAGACTCAATGTGACACGACAGAAAGCTGTATACACACCATCTTGTATTCACTGCATTATCTGTAGGTTTAGTTCAGAGAGAAAAAGGAGGATGCAGTCTTTCTAACAGCTCAATGAAGGACTGCCTGTAAGAACCACACAGCCTGGAATCACTCACATGACACAGAGATTCTTTTCCTTTAGCAATCTAAAAGGCTAACAGGTGGTTTTGGTCAGGCATATGAGCAAAATAACAACTAAATGCTGGGAGGTGGAATGGAAAACAAAAGAATGATCTTTTACTTGAAAGAGTTGTGATAGCATCAAGTAAAATGACCTTTAAAATGGAAGGGAGGAAAAAAATAAAAAAGGTCTGCCAGCATCATTAATTCTTTTCAAGCCCTGCATAAAATTAGTCCTACTGAACATTTTTTCTTCATGGTCAGACTCTTTCACTTATAAGCAATCTCCTATCTTTTGCAAAGTATCTTGGCCCTTAGAGAGAAGGCTTCCCAGCCCCATACAAAGCTGTCTTGTAATTTGACCTAAGCTGATTTCTTCTCTCAGCTGCAATGTAAATGTAATGTTGTTCTTGCTACTTACGGATGGCGCAGAGGAACTGAACCAAAGTATGGTGGGAGAAAACAGTTCTCTACAAATAAGAAGGGAACGTGTGTCACAGAAGCAATTTACATTGGATGAATAAATACTGCAGTAGCTATGATCTCTTGAGTGTTGATGTGTATTTGCATGTCTCACCTCCAGGGCTGAGAAACTAAACGCCGAAATGTTGGGAAACTTTTGCTAAAAAGAGAGTCGCTGTTGCCCAAATCTGTTATGCCTAAGCTGACAACATGCATCCAGGCCACAGGAAGTGGTTTAATCATTAAGTTTTTCAGTGCCTCAACCCAAGGTGCTTAGGGTGTATGATCACAGCCTCAGAGCACACCACTGCATAGTAGCAATCCATCCCCTAGCAACTTTTGTTTCCATGGCAAAAGCTGTCCTGTTTACTTTGAGCTTTACTATTCTCCACTGATCTGAGGAGATGCGATTGCATTGATGAGCAGACAGATTAAAAGATGAGCAAGCTCCATGAAAAATTACTCCATAAATTTTTACTCTGCTTGCTTATGGAAGGGTTGAACACGTTTTTTTTTTTTAAATAAAAATGTAAGGACTTGGCTTCTGAAAAGCAGAACAAAAGGAAATAAGGATGTGCCATAGCCTTGTGACACCACACAGCCACCAAACGTAAGCCACAAATTCTGATGGTTGGTACAGGTGAAGCCTTTCCTCTCCCTTCTTCAGACTCACATGCTCTGACCCTTCTGTTCAGAGGGCCGTGTTTCCAGTCCTTGCCTAGAGAAAGCAAGATCCCCGTGCAGGGCGAGCACTGGCATTAACACCCTGTCTTTGACAGCGGTCTCCGAGGTGTCCTTTCCGATGCTTCCTCAGCTACCTGCCATGCCCAGCGCTCTCCCGG